TTAAAGATGGATAATTTCCGAGTCCGGATACTGTGGGAGAGGAGCGAGGAAGTTACAGTGGCCCTAACCCAAATTTTCAAATCATCTCTGGCCACAGTGAAGGTGCCAGAAGACTGGAGGATGGCTGATGTGGTTCCATTTTACAAGAAGGGTAGCAGGATAGGTTAATAGGGTACTTAAGAAGTATAAGGAATACTTGACTTAATCAGTCAAGGCATGTAAGAGCAGAAAGGTTATGCTGGAACTATGTAGAACTTTGGTGAAGTCACAGCTGGAATACTCTGTGTAGTTCTGGTCACCACATTGTAGAAAGGATGCGATTGCACTTGTGGGTACAGAGGAGATTCATCAAAATTCCTGGGATGGAGCATTTAAGCTATGAAAAGAGGCTGGATAAGGTCAGATTTTTTTCTTTGAAGCTGAGAAGGTTGAGGGAGTGGATCTGATAGAGGTGTATAAAATTATGAGAGGCATGGACAGGGTGAATAGAAAGCAGTTGTTACCCTTAGTAAAAGGGTCAATAACAAGATGGCATAATTTTAAAGTAAAAGGCAGGAGTTTTCGAAAGGATTTGAGAAAAAAACATTTTCACCCAGAGGGTGGTGGAAGTCTGGAAAATACTGCCTGGGAGGTTAGTTGAGGTGGGAAATCTCACAATCTTTAAAAAGTACTTGGATAAGCACTTAAAATGTCATAACATTCAAAGCTGTGGGTCCAGTGCAGGAAAGTGGGACTAGAGTAGATAGAATATTTTTGGTGGTATAGATTTGATGGGCCAAAGGGCCTCTCTTATTCTATGATTCATTACAGTATGGCCATATATGAACCCAAAATGAGTTGGTGGCTCTTCCTAATTTATTTGTATGCTCTCGTACAAGGTGCTGCTCCTCAGTTGCAGCTAACCCTTTTGCCTCATGGTTTGATGTGAAATTGGAAACTGTTCCCTCATTGCCATAGGCTTACTTTGTTAGACAGAGAAGTCTCCTGCTCATATCTCTGGGCAAGAGAACCACCGACCATTCCTAAGAAATTTGGAGGAGAACCTGGAGGGAGTCATCACTGAACCACAGTTCATCCGGGATCTACTTCTGCTATATGTACACATGCCTCACCCTTCAGGCCTTTCAGAAAACCTGCTTGAGTCAGCATTGGGACTGCTTATAGGCAAGATTGTACCTAGTTCCAAGGCTTCAAAAACAGCAGCATCTATATTTAGGGAGCACTGGCAGACCATTAAATATGGTGTTAGTTCGACTTGGAGTCATTGAGTCATACAGCACAGAAACAGACAACTCAACTGATGCAGTTGTCACTTCACAGCCTATCCGCTTATGGGAACCCCTGCCCATCTCCTGGAAGTTAATTAGCCTGCCAACACAAGATTGTTCTATATTGATGAATCGATTTCAGCACAGCACTATAACTTTCCTCTTGTCTCAGCATTTATTGCTCAACCCTGTATTGCCCTTGAGGACGTGGTGGTGAATTGTCTCCTTGAATCACTGCAGTCCATGTGGTACAGGGACACCCATGACACTGTTAGTGAGGGAGTTCTGGGATTTTTACCCAGTGACAGTGAAGGAATGGTGATATAGTTCCAAAGTCAGGATGGAGTGTGACCTGGAGGGAAACTTGCATGTTGTGGTGTTCAAATGCAACTGCTGCCCTTCTCCTTCTAAGTGGTAAAGGCAGCAGGTTTAAATATTGCTGTCAAAAGGATCCTTGGTGAGTCTCTGTCGTACTTCATGCAGGTGCTGTGTACTGTTGGCACTATGCATCAGTGAGAAGCAATTAAATGTTTAAGGTGGTGGATAAGATGCCAATCAAGTTTGCTTTGTCTTGGTATTGATCTTTTTGAACATTGTTGGAGCTGTTCTCATCCAGGCAAGTAACTAGCACTCTACCACACTCATGACTTGTGGCTTGTAGATAGTGGAAAGGCTTTAAAGAGATGCAAGTTACTTGATGCCGAATTCTTAACCTCTGAGCTGCAGTATTTATTTAACTGGTCCACTTCAGTTTATGGTCAATGGTAACCCCTAGGACAGTGGGGGATTTAGTGATGGAAGTGCCATTGAATGCCAAGGGGTGATGGTTAGATTCTCTCCTGTTTGAAATAGTCACTGTCTTGCACTTGTGTGATGCAAATGTTATTTACTACTTATCAACCAAAGTCTGAACATTGTCCAGGTCTCTCTGCATTTGGACACAGATTCCTTCGGTATCTGAGGGGTCATGAATGATGCTGAATATTGTGCAATCATCATCGAACATCCCCACTTCTAACTTTATGATCGAGGTAAGGTCATTTATGAAAGCAGTAGAGGATGGTTGCCTGGAACACCACTCCTACAGAGATGACCTGGTACTGAAATGACTGACCTCCAACAACCATAATCATCTTCCTTTGTGTTAGGTACGACCCCTACCAATGGGAGGCTTTCTCCCTGGTTCCCATCAACTCCAGTTCAAAGAAGCATTTACTAAGCCTCATGGATGCCACACTCAGTTGAATCCTGCCCTGAATGCCAAGGGCAGCCACTACTACATCAGCTCTGGAGTTTAGCCATTTTTTTTCAGACCAAAGTTGCAATGAAGTCAGGAATTGAATGGTCTTGGTGAAACCCAAATTGAGCATCAGTGAACAGATTTTTGCTAACTAAGCGTTGTTTGTTAGCACTATTAGTGACACTTTCCACCACTGTGCTGATGGTCAAGAATGGACAGATGGGGTGGTAATTGGCTGTTTGGATTTGTTCTGCTTTTTGTGGATTAAAGGGCTGAAGGGTCAGTTTCTGAGTTTTCAGTACTATGAAATATGAGTGCATCCAAGTCCAGTGATTTTGATACTCAGGATCTCATAACGTACTAATACAGCTCCGTTTTACCTTAGAATCCTACAGAACAATAGAAGACATGCTGGCCAATCATGTCTTTGAAAGAGCTATCCAATATACCCTACCGCCTTGAAATCAAACTGAAGCAATCACACCAAATCATGGAGTGTGCCAACTTTGTGGCCCAAACGTCACATTTACCCATGTGGTTATGAGTGCAATCTTTCTACAGAGACATTGCAGGACAATTGGGTAATTATTCAAAATGTGTGAAGCTGAGTATCTTACTTCATTTGGAAAGCAATTATTCAATACTACAGACTCCAAATGGGAGAAGTTTGAGAACGCTGCAGTGAAGAGTTAAGAAAATTCCATAGTAATTGAGGAAGTGGCCCTGGAAATAGGGGATGCATTGGTGATCATTTTTCACCATTCTCTTGACCCTGGAACGGTTCCAATGGACTGGAGGGTAGCTAATGTAACCCCATTCTTTAAAAATAGAGGGAGAGAGAAAATGGGGAATTATAGGCCAGTTAGCCTGACATCAGTGGTCGAGAAAATGCTGGAATCAGTTACTAAGGATGTAATAACTGAGCATTTGGAAAGCGCTGGCAGAATCGGCCCGAGCTGGCATAGATTCACTAAAGGGAAATCATGGTTGATGATTCTTATGGAAATTTTTGAGGATGTGACCAGTAGAGTGGACAAGGGTAAATCAGTAGATGTTGTGTATCTGGACTTTCAAAAGGTTTCACATGAGAGATTAGTAAGGAAAATTAAAGCCCACGGTACCGGAGGTAATGTATTGACATGGATAGAGAACTGATTGGCAGACAGGAAGCAGAGAGTTGAAATAAATGAGTCCTTTTCAGTGTGGCAGGCAGTGATGATTGGGGTGCCACCGGGTTCAGGGCTGGGACCCGAGCTGTTCATAACATACATTAATGATTTGGATGAAGGAATTGAATGCCATATCTCCAAATTTGCAGGTGATACTAAGCCAGGTGGCAATGTATAATGTAAGAAGGATGCTAAGAGGCTGTAGTGTGAGTTGGACAGTCTGGCTGAGTGGGCAAATGTAATATAATTTGGATAAATGTGAGGTTATCCACTTTGGTCACAAAAACAGGAAGGCAGGTTATTATCGAAATGGTGGCAGTTTAGGTAAAGGTGCAGTGAAACCTGGGTGACATGGTGGAACAGATGCAGGTGCAGCAGGTGGTGAGGAAAGCTAATGGCATGCTCTGCTTAATAGCAAGAGGATTTGACTATGTGGAGTAAAGATGTCCTGCAGCAGTTATATAGGGCCTTAGTGAGGCCACACCTTAAGTATTGTGTGTAGTTTTGGTCTGCTAGTCTGAGGAAGTACATTCTTGCTATTGAGAAAGACCAGCAAAGGTACACCAGTCTGATTCCTGGGGTGGCAGTACTGACATATGAAGAAAGGCTGGATTGACTGGCTTGTACTTGCTGGAATTTTAAAAAATGAGGAGTGATCTCATAGAAACATATAAAATCCTGATGGGACTGGACAGGCTAGATGCAGAAAGAATGTTCCCCATGTTGGGGAAGTCCAGAACTAGGGGTCACAGCCTCAGAATAGGGGGTAAGCCATTAAGGACTGAGATGAGGAAGAATTTCTTCACTCAGAGAATTGTGAACTTGTGGAATTCTCTCCCACAGGAAGCTGTTGGGGCCAGTTCATTAGATACATTCGTGAGGGAGCTGGTTGTGGTCCTTGTGGCTAGAGGGATCAAGGGGTATGGAGAGAAAGTGGGAATGGCATACTGAGATTGCATGATCAGTCATGATCATTTTGAACGGTGGTTCAGGCTCGAAGGGCCGAATGGACTACTCCTGCACTTATATAGATAAGCAGGAACTGCCGATGCTGGAGAATCTGAGAATTTCGTCGAAACTTTCCTGCTCCTCTGATGCTGCTTGGCCTGCTGTGTTCATCCAGCTCTACACCTTGTTATCTCCTGCACTTACATTCTGTGTTTCTAAAATCAAAATACTGTGGTTGCTGGAAGCCTGAAACAAACATAGAGAATGCTGGACAAACTCAGCAGGTGTGGTAGCTCTGTGAAAAAGTTAACATTTCGAATCCAATAAGAAGAAGTCATACAAGACTTCAGAAAACCCCAGTTTCTGGATACAAGCCCCTCCTCTCCTGACGTCAACGTTCGAAGCGATCGAGACGCCAGTTGCCGTAGAAACTGCAACAGGCGGCTGTGCTGGGAGCTGGTAAGTTAGTGTTGATGTTTGCATCCTATTGCCTATTTATTTAATGTTTTCGGGTCAGTAAGAGGTTAACTGGTATCGTTGCCGTTGCGCCCCCTCCCCCCTCCCGTGCTGAGAGACGGGGGTTGGTGCATTATCCTGCCAAAAATGCCTTGCTTCTGTGCGCGAACTACATGTATACGTATTGCTGCTTGTTCTTACTAATCTCTCTCTTTTGATTTAAGGCGGAAAAAAAAATCGAAAGCATTTCACATCGAGTGGAGAAAAGATGAGCAACGGTGTTTTACATGCCCCACCAGTCAGCAAGGACCGAATCATCTCTAAATTTCCCAAGGTCACGATTTGTCTTTGATAGTTTTAATGTTGTCTCTGTCTCTCAAATGTTGCAGTGTATCTGGTACGGGAGGTGACGTGTTTGTGGTTGAGATCAGGACTGATATGGCCTGCAGTACAAAATATTGTACAGTGACAGCTGGATTTATCTTGTTAATGCTGGTAGCACCAGGAGTAACTGGAAACTCAGGTAGTGCCACGTATAGAGCCTCTGAGAGCTGAGCTGAATGGGAATGATGCAGCTGTATTTATTTCTGGAAGTGAAGAACTGACTTTAGTTTGATTGGAGACTCGATAAGTTTAGAGTGAGTAGTTAGTAGTTGCTTATTCTGCTTCCTCCCCCAGGTCACCTCCAGCATTCCTATCATTCCAAAATGTCATGAACAACCACAGAACTATTAGCCAACAGATCGGTGGTGTCACTTGGTTTTGATCACATCACCTATTACTCTTCACTACAAATGCAATTTTAAATCAACCAAACGTGTTTTCCATTGTTTAGCCTGAATTATTTTGAAAAATAAACTTTGAGCTCCAAACATCCGTTTCTAAAACACAATTTCCACATTTTAATTCTATGGATAGCCCTGATTTGGTACTTGTTTGAAGTGAAAGTTACTAGGCAACCTAACATTTTAAAAAGGTACCTGATTCAATATCATCTAATAGAGAGAATTGTGGTTTAGTGATATTAATAGCATTGCTGATTTAACTTTAGGAAGTTAAGGTGAGGAACCCGATCTTTTTGCTTATTCATTCACGGGATGTGGGCGTTATTGACTAGCCAGCATTTATTATCCATTCTTAATTGACCAGGTCAGTTAAGAGTTAACCACATTGCTGTTGATCTGGGTCATATTAGGCCAGACCCTAGATGAGGATGGTGGAATTCAAACCTGGGTCGCCAGAACACTACCTGAATAAAAAGTCCAGTGATAAAGCCACTGAGCCATTGTCTCCTGATTTCAAAGTATAAGATGTGAGGGGAGTGTGGACACTACACTCAACAACATCCCAAGGAAGATAAAATTATCATCTTTGGAGACTTCAACACCAAGGTTGGAAAGGATCCCACCTCTGGGAAGGAACCATCGGAAAGGAAGAAGTTGGGAGTTGCAAGTTGGGATTCTTCTGCTCATTGAATGTGCAGAACACCAGATGGTCATCACCAACACACTGTTCTGCCAAAAAGACATGTTCAGATTTCTTGGAGGCATCCATGATCAAAGCACTGGCGTGTTTGACTGCATCATTGTTCAATCCCAAGACCAAAAGGATGTCTTCATTATCAAAGCAATGATCAGTGCAGATGATTACTGGACAGACCACTGGCTCATTGATTCCTCAATATCCATCAAAAGCCACTAGAAACAGCTGAAGATGAAATAGATCAGAAAAAAGCTCAAAGTTGAGTGGCTTCAAGAACCAAGAAGACTGGTGTAGTTCCAACAATGCCTTCATCAAAATCTCCAAAAAATTCATTTTAATGCGGTGGAGGAAATATGGAAAGAGCTGAAGGTAGTCATCATCTCATGCTGTGAAGAAACCATTGGCTATAAGACCACAAAACAGCAAGACTGGTTTGAAGAGAATGATCTCAATATCCAAGACCTCATTGACAAGAAGAGGAGAGCTCTTCATGCCTGGCAAAACAACATCAGTGAGACAAGAAGAATTCCTCAAACAAAGGCAGAGTTACAAATGAAAAGAAGGGAAATCAAGAACAGATGGCGGATTGAGAAAGCTAAGGAGCTGCAACTTTTTGCTAACGAGCAGAATACCCAAGATTCCTTCAATGCCACCGAGGCAATATACTAACCCAACACCCTTGACCTCAAATCAGTGTGGAGTAAGGATGGCGTTGTTTTGAGATCCAAAGCAAATAGCAGCCTCTAATGGAGAGAACACTTCAAAGAACTTCTAAACTGTGATATAGTTGTCAAAAAGGACATGTTTGAAGCAAACCCCCAAAGATGATCTTGGACTCCCACTTATTGTGGCAGAATTTGAAATGGCCTTTAGACACATGAAGAATGGAAAAGCTGCAAGAGTAGACTGGCTTCCAGTGGAGATTTCCAAACTTTGAGGAAGATAACTCACCTGTCATCTCCATCAACTGTTCCTGAAAATCTTGGACAAAGAAGAAATCCCTGCTGATTTCAGACATGCTGCCATCACCACTAACTTCAAGAAAGGAGATCAAGAGGGCTGTGGAAACTACTGAGGAATCTCCCTACTCTCCATCACTGGGAAATTACCACCCAAATCCTCACTAGACTCCTTCTCCCAGTCTCTGTGGAAATCCTACCTTAGTCAGTGTGGCTTCCAACCAAACCTTGAAACAATGGACATGTTTTTCGCAGCTTGACTACTCCAAGAGAAATTCTAGGAACAACACCAACCATCCTATATAGCTTTCATCGACCCGATCATGGCTCTTGACTCAGTCAATAGGGATGTGCTATGGGAGATCCTGTCAAAAACCGGCTGTCCAGTGAAACTCACCCTTTGCCTCCTCCACAACAAGATATTGGTGATGGTCTTCACCAATGGTAATATAACAGCATCCTTTGAGGTCAAGACAGAAGTGAAGCATGAATGTGTCATTAGCCCTACCCTTTTCTCATCTTCATCACCAGTGTTCTTTATCTTGTCAAGTCTTCATCTTGTCAAGAACAGGTCTCCCAGTGGTGTGGACATTGTTTACACAATGGAAAGAAATCTTTGCAACCTCAACTGGTTGAAATCTGGGAAGGAAGAAACACTGACCTCGCTTGTGAAACTTCAGTACGTGGATAACAATGTCATCTCTGTTCTCTTGGAAATGAATCTTAAAGCCTTGCTTAGTGCCTTTGAGGAAGCATACCAAAAAATTGGTCTCTGTCTCCTTATTGTATGAAACAAATGAGAAGAAAATAGTTGTGTTGCAATCAATCAGAAGAGTACCAAGTGCAGCTGCGATGCTCACTTTGAGGCTGAATAATCTTGAGTCTCAACCTCAAGATGATTCAAATCCTTTACCAACCCATCCCAGATCAAGTTCTGGTCCATCCTTCGCCCCCAAATATGAGGCATTTCCCTTACATGGGAAGCTACCTCTCATCTTAGGCTGACATCAGGCTGATGTGGAGACTCAATTGCATCCAATCTGCAAGTGCCATCTAAGGCCGAGACTGTGACATCATGCTGACATTAAGATGCTTGTGTATAAGGCAGTTATCCTTCTGACTCTGCTATATGGCTCCAAGACTTGGACTGCATATAGATGACACCACGAGACCCTTGAGAAATACCATTAATGCTGTTTGAGGCAGATTCTGTGCATCACCTAGGAGAACAGACATACTAACATCAATGTCCTTTAAGCAGCTGATAGCACCAGATCGAGGCCATGGTAGTGCGAAACCAATTTTGTTGGACCAGCAATGTGCTTAGGATGCCTGTGTCCAACTTCGTCACCCAGCTTAAGGAAGGCACCAGAATGAGAGGAAGACAATGGAAATGATTCAAAGACCCCCCCCCAAAGGCTTCCCTCAGGAAATACAACATAGATATAAACGCATCAGAGACGCTTGTTCAGAAGAAACCTACTTAGAGGAAATTCCTGCATGAAGGGGCACAATTCTTCTCAAACACCCATCAGTAACAGGAAGTATAGAAAAGGAAGCAGAGAAGAAACCCAAGAAATAAATGGCAACATTTCAAGGCCAGTGACCTCTTCCACCCCTCAGAAACATCTACAGAATGTGAGGTCGGAAATGCGGCTCTGGAATCAGGCTCATGGCCCACATTAGGACCCACAGAGCTCAAGACCAGTGACAATCATACTCATTACTGAGTGATTGCCGATGACGGTGACAGTAACCAAACTGGACTTTGCATGGAGAGGATAATATGCAGTCTGACTATTCTCATGTAGTCAGCTTGGATGATTTCTGTCTTAATACAGCCGTTTTTAATTGTAAGTGGAACGACAGAGGGATGAAGATTGTACCAGGCAGAGGAGGTAAAGTTTACTGCCCTACTGGGCAGAACCTTCCATTGTTATAGAGTTGTAGAGTCATACAGCACAGAAACAGACCCTTCAGACTCACCAGTCCATTCTGAACATAATCCCAAACTAAACTAATCCCACCTGCCTACTCCTGGCTGATATCCCTCCAAACCTTTCCTATTCCTGTACTTATCCAAATGTCTTTTAAAACGTAGTAATTGTACCCACATCCACCACTCCCCCAGGAAGTTCATTCCACATGCGAACCTCCCTTTGTGTAAAAACTTTGCCCCTCCTGTCGTTTTTAAATCTTTCACCCCTCACCTTAAAAATGTACCCCCTAGTCTTGAAATTTGCCATCCTAGGGAAAGACAACTACCATTAACTGTCTGTACCCCTTTTTTTTTTTTACAAATTACCATAAGGTTGCCTCACAACCTCCTACACTACATTAAGAAAAGTTCTAGCCTATCCAACCTTTCTTTATAACTGAAACCTTCCAAACCCAGCAACATCTTGGTAAATCCCTCAAAACCCTCTCCAGCTTATTAATATCCTTCCTATAATTGGGCGACCAGAAGGCCTCACCAATGTCCTGTACAACCTGACTCCCCATCTCCTATACTGAAAGGACTGAGTAATGAAGGCAAGCCCATATCCCTCCAAACCTTTCCTATTCATGTACTTATTCAAATTTCTTTTAAACGTTGTGATTGTACCCGCATTCACCACTTCCCCAGGAAGTTCATTCCACGTGCAAACCACCCTCTGTGTAAAAGATTTGCCCCTCATGTCTTTTTTAAAATCTTTTTCCTCTCACCTTAAATATATGCCCCCTAGTCTTGAAACTCCCCATCCTAGGGAAAAGACAACTATCATTAGTTCTTGATGAGGTTGTCAACAATGGGACTGGATATGCCCCACACTTTCATTCATGGACAAGATGGCTGGTCACGAGTGATCACACGGCACACACCAATTTGTTATGCATAGTTGAGGAGCATGGCAAATCATTCAGCAGGGACTAGCAGGAAGTCGAAGCCTCTGCTGTCACCTCACGCAAGGTTGACGGTCCAGGAAGCCGTTGGTGCTACCATCATCAGTCGTGCCCCAGAGCAGACAGAAAGGGGTTCAGAGTTCAGTGCTGCATCCCTGCTGGTTCTCCTCCAGGCTGTCAAGGAATGGCAGGAAGTCCAGTTCTCAGAAATAGCAGCAGGACGGCACTCCCATCTGAGCAAGGTGGCCTAGACAAAGGTTGCAGCACAGGTTAGAAGAAATGTGGTCCACACCAGAACCTGGGTCCAGTGCAGAAAAAGGATGCATGATCTGCTTCACTTTGCAAGGCTAATTGGCACTTTGTCTTCACTGCTAACTGGGACAATTTAATTTAAATTTAATCAGTTTAAATGTGTGAGTGGAGAGGAATGTCAGAGAGGAGTTTAGATTGCACGCTTCAGCATCTGATGGAATAAGTGGATGGATGTGTGAGAGCTACTTCGTGCTTTACAAGTTGTACCAGTTGCAAGATAGTGTGTGATTACAACATTTAACTGGGAAAGGTACGGGATGCATGCCATTGACATGCATGCTTATTAGGCAGTTAAGGACCCATCAGAATGATGCTTAATCCTCTATCTGTCTGCCAATTTGTCCACAGCTTGATCCTATAAACAGAAATGTGACAATGATCGGCTGATATGTATTTGTGGTGTTGTTGAAGGGTAAATATGATCCAGAACATTCAGGATAACTCCAACGTTTCTTCAAAATCGATCTTTAACTATATCTGAAAAGGCAGCTGAAGGTTCATTGTAACATCTTAAAGAGAGTACCTCAACAGTGCTATACTGGAATGTCAGTCTTGAGCTTTCTGCCCAAATTCTGAACCTAGACTTGAAACTGTAATTTTATGCCTCAGATGCAAGAGTGATACCAACTGAGCTATTATAGGACTCTCTGAGTAGCTGCTGTACAGTTAGAAAAGAATAGAAATTTCAAATGTGGTTACTGATATCAGTGTTCCATCAGAGTAGTTGGACTTGGGTGGCTAAAGTTAAAAATAACCTCGCTGAATAATCTGAATTAGGACACTAGCCGTTAGAGCTATTCACATAGTCAGGTAACTGTATTTGTTCCTTAACTGACTCGACACTCAATGTCAACAGTCTGTTTTTAATCTTGATGCAGTGTTACTTACCTGAAGCCTGTCTCCAATTTAAAGATCAGTTCCACATTCAAGTTAAAAATGCCTGCCACGAACGACAAACCAGAAATGTCGGGTAAGTAATTTGAGACATGAAATGAAACTTGGTTCAGTCAGCCCTTTTAAGGTCAATTTAATTAAGAAATAGTGTTCCTTCTGTTGTCACAAACAGATCGCAGAGTTTTGATGAAACGGACCAGCTGATGAATCACTTCTTTTCTTCTAGCATCTGCAGGCAATACCTGCTCAACAATTACTCTATTGAATAAATGGAAGCTTTGAGTAATGAATATCTTTAAGGAACAAAAGGCTCACATTATACTGATAAGATAGTGTGACTGGGTTATGAGTTCAGGAATGGCAGTTTTGTATGCTAATTTAAATTTATTTATACTTGAAGAGGCAAAAATTGCAGAACTATTGTGAAGAGCAAAGAAATTGAATTTATTCAATAGCTTTTTCAAAGAGCCAGCACAGGCAAGATGTGCTGAAGAGTTTTCTGTGATGTAAGACTCAATGCTTACCGACTCAGTGCTTACCTTTTGAGTATCTCCAGCAAAACGTCTCTTTTTTTGTAGAAAATATTAATGGAGGTTGCAGTAACTCCACTGAGCCGGTATCCTGTCACCACATCACCCCTTATTTACACGTGGAAAGTCCTTGGCACTGATCCAGCTCCCTCGGAGCCAGCTATCAGAGCATCAGAATGTCTGACACTCCTCTTTTTATCTATCAGCCATGGGTCCCAAATTGGACGAGATTAACAGCCCCAATCAGGGAACTCATTTTGTGTGAGGTCCACCTGGCTGACTTCATTACAGTCACTACATCCCTCCTCCTCTGAGTTTGAGGACATAGGCCAGTGCTTTTTCTTGTAGTGTTTCCTGGGGCATTTTAGCACTGGGTCAGGATCCTCCGTCTCTGCGTCGGATACAGGCAGCATGTAACACACAGGAGCTCATGAGAGAAATTCCCTGTCTTCTTCCAGTGGCAAAGACATCGAAGCGATGAGATCTGCCATATCTATCTCAAATTCACAGGTCTCTTCAACGCTTGACGGACAGGGAGAACCTATGCGATCTGACAGCCTTTCTAACTGTTCTGAGGAGCAGGGCACATTTTGCTCCCACACTATTTGCGAGTTCGCAGCTTTCATTTGGTCCACGTGCTTCTTCTGGACTGTTGCTTCTGCCTAAACTTTAGACGTCACTGTTTCTGACCTTGCGTTGACCAAGCCTGTTATCCATTCAGGGCCATTTCCCTGATTCCTACACCAAATTTCATCTCCTGAAGTAAATTGTCTCTCCCGCTCGGCGGAGTCTGGCACTGGCACTGGCATTCCTGATACCGTTTCACTCCTCCCACCCCCTCAGGTTCAAGAAGATCAGATTTGATCTGTTGCAGAGTCTTTCACCATTAGCAACTCTACTGGAGCTATCCCTGTAGTTGCATCAGAGGTGGACCTGTAATCAAATAGGAACCGGGTCACTTTGGTATGTAGCAAAGCTGTAGGCTGTTTCTTCAAGCCTGCCTTCAAAGTTTGGACTGTTGTTTCTGCCAGGCTAATGAATGATTGATGGTATGTAACAATCCTTATATGTTGAATCTCATTCGACTTTAGGAAATACTCAAATTTCCTGCTGGTAAATGATGTCCCGTTATCTGTGACCAACACTTCCTGGAGTCCGTGTATTGCAAATGATACATGCAGCTTTTCTATCGTCGTTTCTGTGTTTCATGAATGAACACAGTGCATATTCAAACACTTTGAATGGGCGTCTACAATGACTAAGAACATTAAGCCCATGAAAGGACCCGCACAGTTGACATGTAACCGAATCCAGGGTTTACCCAGCCATTGCCATGAATGCAGGGGAGCTGCTGGTGGTAATTTTTGTCCTTCTTGGCACTTTGGGCACTGCCCCACTGACACGGGTATATCTGCATCCAAGCCTGGCCACCAACATAACCACTCACTGATATCTTCACTTTGGAGACTCCTGGATGACCGTGATGGAGTTCAGCCAGTATCTGGTATCAGCCTTTGCTAGGGGCAATCACACTTGCTCCCCCTAATAATAGACCACCCTCTACTATGATCTAGTCACTCCAGATCCAAAAAGGTTTCAATCCTGGTTGTGATGGCCCTTTGGTATCCCCCATCACCACCAGCTGTTTCATTTTGGCCAGGACTAGATATTTCTGCATCCAAAGTCTGATATTGTCCACTGTGACTAGAAGTGTGTCCAGAAAATTTAAAACCATTACTGAGTCTTCCAGTGGCGGTACTACCCATGGTATATCTGCCAGTGGGAGGTGGCTCAATGAATCCACATTTGCTACTTGGCCTACCGGACAGTGTTCCAATTTGTAATTATACACACTTAGAATTAGATCCCACTGCTGAATTTGACCTGAAGTTATGGGCAGCACTGCTTTGTCCCCTTTAAGTAGACCTAGTAGGGTTTTGTGGATCCTTATTGTTATAAAGTTACATCCATAAAGATATTGATTGACCTTCCTGACTCCAATATGACCGCCAAACCTTCCTTCTCTATCTGGGCGTATTTACGCGCTGCATTAGCCAAAGTCCTGGATGCTTACACAATTGGGTGTTCCTTTCCATTGGGCTACCTATGAGCTAATACTACCCCAATGCCAATGGGGAGGCATCAGATGTCAATATCAGGTCTTGTTTGGGATCATAGTGTGCCAACATGTCAGAGGATTATAACTTTTGCTTCAGTCCCCTGAAAGTTATAGCTTGGCTACGTAACCATTTCCAAGGCTGACGCTTTTATTTAGGTTTTGATGCAAAGGTGCCAGGTAATGTATGAATTTGCCATAATAATTCACCAGCCCAAGGAAAGACTTAAGCTCCGGTACAGTCATTGGAGCCAGGGCAACTTTGATCGCCCTCACTTTATCTTTCAATGGGTGTAACCCTGTCTTGTTGACTCTGTAGCCCGAGTAGGTAATTTTGGGGGGCGTGGAATACACATTTTTCCTTCTTAGGCATCCACTCACCTGGGAGAAACATCTATGTGCTCCTTATGGGTCTTCCCTGTTATTAGCAAATCATCTAAATGGTGACTTGGGGTAGACCTTGCAAAATGTTCTCCATCATCTAAATGGTGACTTGGGGTAGACCTTGCAAAATGTTCTCCATCGTCCGCTGAAAAATTGCACAGGCTGATGATACCCAAATGGCAGTCTCATATGTTGGTACAAACCCTTATTAGTTCTAGCATTCTTCTGGGAATCATCATCTAACCACAACTGCAGGCACACATGGCTCATGTCCAGCATCACGAAGGCCAACCCCCCACCAGCTTTGTGTATAAATCCTCTATGCAAGGGATTGGATATTTATCCAGTTGTGAAAAGCAGTTAACCTTTTGTTTAAAATCTCCACAAAGGCAAACCGACCCGACGAGATTCCCAATCAATATGACCAGTGCTGCCCATGCTGTAAACTGGACTGGTTTGATGATTCCTTTGCTTTCCAGCCTTCTGATTTCTGCCTCTACTTTTGCATGTAAGGCAAATGGCACTGGGTGGGCCTTGCAGAATCATGGAATTTCTTCCTGGTCAACGTGCAAAGTGGCCTTGGCTCCTTTGATAGTCCCGAGACCTTCCTGAAAAACTTCCGGGTATTAAATTAGGACTTCACTCAGGCAGCCGTTTTCTAATTGACAAATGTTAACCCAGTCTAGGTCAATCTTTCTTAACCAATTATGCTCCATCAAGCTTAGATTGGAGCCTGTTGCAACAATCACTGGTAATTGAACCAACTGCTTCTCATAAGAGACTGGAATGAAGTTGTACCCTTAATCTGTAAAGATTCCCCAGTGTGGGTTCTCAGTCTGGCCAAGATGTTGCGCAAACTTAAGGGTTGGAGTCCAGAGCAAGTCCTGTTACGTACTCGTCCTGTGATCAGTGAAATGGCCGCACCAGTATTGACCTCCATTCGAGCTGGATGACCATTTAACCAGACGTTTATTTTGATTGGTTCTGATTTGGATGTTGCTAAGCAATTTAACTGATACTGGCCTATGAGTTCTCTTACTCAACTTAGATTTAGTAGGACTCCTTTGCTGTCTCGAGTCCACATACCAGCAGCAACTACAATGGCTTGCCGGCCCGGATCCTGAAAAAATTTTAATTGTTTGATCGAGGCTTGGCTTTGTTTGGAGTTCCTCCAATCATATGTCTTTAGTGAGGCAGTGCAATTGCCTGCATTCAAGTGGTATTTCCCAAGTTCAGCCGGATTGGTGAGCGTGTATGCTATCATCGGAATACCCTGCAACTCATGTGCTCCACTTGTCGCATTTTCCAGTCATGAAGCCAGTTGTACTGCCTGTTTGAAGACCATTTGGGCTTCAGCTAGTAGGCATTTTTGCATGGTTACATCATTAATTCCATATCCCAGTTGGTCTCTCAGCATCTCATCAAGGGTTAAACCAAAGTCATGTTCCTCTGCTAGTTGTCTTAACCTAGTCAAAAATCCTGACACAGATTCACTTGGTTCTCAAATTGTCAAGTAAAAATGATAGAATTTCAGAATTAGAGGGTTGTAATATTCCTTACTAAATCCATCAACTCTTGAAAGGTTTCAGTATCTGGTGCCTCAGGGAAAGTTAGACTCCTAATAACCAAAAAAAGCTGCAGATTCACAAGCTGTCAGGAGAATTATTCATTACTTTTCATCTGCCCCTTTTATCATTTGTCCAGAAAAAATAATATGTTTTTTCCACTGGACCCAGTCTTTGACGGCAGAGTCAAAGGGGTCAAACTTCCAAAATAACAGCATGATATCAGAAATGCTTATCTCGACTCAAAGAACTACTGTTGCGAGCAGGTTTCTTCAGGAACATGCTTTACTCTTGTTGCCACTGAAATAACTCCACCACCAAGTCACTCCTTATATATAGATGGAAAGTCCCTGATACTTGTCCAGCTCCCTCAGTGCCAGCTCTCAGAGTGTCTGAATATGTGACACTCTTTATTTGTTAGCCAGGATTCCCATTTGGACCAGATTAACAGCCCCAGTCAGGGAACTCATATTCTGTGTGGTCCACCTGGCTGACCTCATTACAATCGCTACACAGATTTGGATGGTCCTTTAGTTTAGCAAATTCTCCTTTCATTTCTGAGACCTGGAGTTGACTGTCTCTCTGACCATTTAGAAGCTTACTTTATGCAGGATCCTTACACTGATGTCTCCTTCTAAAGTTCTGTTTTGTTTTGTATGCAATGAAGTTTAACTATGCAGAATACTTAAAAATTTTTGTTTTCATTGACCAAGCTTAATTCTTAAATTAACAACAACTTATTATCTAGCAGCTTTAATGTAATAAAAGATCTGCACGCATTTCACAAGAACGTTATAAAACACAAAAAGACACTGAGTCACATAAGGACCTAGTAGATCAAGTGTCCAAAAACTTGTTCAAAGAGATAGATTTTAAGAAGCACCTTCAAGGAGAAAGGTAAGGAAGAGTGACAGAGAGGTTTAGAGAGGTAAATTCTGAGCTTGGCGCCTAGGTAGTAGTGATGGAGCAATTGGAAAATGCACAAGAGGCCTGAATGAGAAGATCCTAGATATCTCAGAATGTTGGAGGCCATTATAGAAATTGGGAAGGCAATGGAAGGATTTGAAAACAAGGATGAGAATTTTAACGTGACGACATTGCTTGGCTAGGATTCAGCGTAGGGAAGCGTCCATGGCTGCAAGAAACCATTATCTTTCAATCTTTGTCCAGTTCCTGTTTCTATTATATTTGAATACCCCTACAATTTCAAACAAGACATGGTTCAATGTTGGTAATCTCTTATGGCTGTACATGATTACTTGCCATAAAATGGACAACTTATGGCCATCATACCAGCAGTAGGGTTACTAACATCACCACAATATTTCAAATTAACATTTAAAATCTGAAATAGATCACTGAATACCAAAGTCACTTTTCACTTTATTGGCTGTACTCTTTCAACTTTGTTTCATTTCATGAGTCTTCTACACTGAAGTGAAACACATTACTTAAGTAAAATTGAGTACATTTTTTCAATCAATATCTAGGAAAGTTAATGTCCATCATAGTTTTACTAAAATGTTAATGCAAGTGCTGAAAATATTGTTAAATAATAACTTGCAGCGTGCTTTGTAAGGTCAGAGCTGAGAAGAAATTGAGGGGGGTTGCCCAGTTGCACAATTAAAGGGAATAATTTCTTGAAACCTGTTTGCTGTTGGGAGATGTGTAAAGACACAGTGACCTATTGTGTGTAAGGAAAGTGGACATGGCAGAGGTAGAGAATGGAAGGTTAAAGCGGAAACTAAAACCACTTAACATAGTGAAACTTTGTTATGTCAATTGCCCCCACAGACTCAAAATGTCAAAGGTGGTGGTGGTTGGGGACCTCTATGTGGGAAAAACATGTCTTATTAATAGGTGAGTGTCTATTAATTTCATGAATTATGATAAAATGACTCTGAGAAAAATCTGGAACAAAAACAGATGTTGCTGGAAAAGCTCAGCAGGTCCGGCAGCATCTGTGAAGAAGAATCAGAGTTAACGTTTCGGGTCCGGTTCTGAAGAAGGGTCACCGGACCCTAAACGTTAACTTTGATTTTTCTTTACAGCATCTGCAGTTCTTTCGGTTTTTATCTGAGGAAAATCTAATGGTCCGAATGTTAAGTTTTCTTTTGAAAATGCCCAAGTTGTGTATAGTTCTTTGGCGGGATTTTTGCTGTGAAACCTAGATAGAAGTCTCACCCTATCTTACCAAACTCACCTCATTAATTACTTACCATGCCTCTATGGCAACTCTCATGTCCAATTTCCACTCCATCTTAACACACACAACATCTCCAAGATTTTCTGAGGCAGGAACTCTCAAAACTATGTTACGTATCACTGAGGGCTTTATCTACATGCTTCCCCAACTTGTCAGCCCAGGCAGAGGAGGTGCCTAAGCCTTGTGTGGAAGAGCCACATCACGTGCTAGGTGAAGTAAGAAATGTGAAGAGGAGAAGCTCAATGAAGAGGAGGAGTCACACAAAGGATGGAGTTTCTGGCAAGAGGAAAGATCCACAGTGGGAGCTGGAGCCTCTTAGCAAACACAGTCTTGGCCTTCTGCCTTGAGAGAGGGGATTCCATTCCTGGATATCTTCCTGTGTGTGATGAATTAATTCATTGAAATTTTATTTCTTTTCATTTATGTATGAATTTATATTAAATTTGGCACACCTATGCTATCTCATTCCTCCTTTCTACTGTTAATACTTGAAACCACATTCTTTTAGTGAGACCATGTCATTTTACAGAAGTAATATTTATTATGAACCTCTTTAAATTTCAGATTTTGTAAAAATGTGTTTGACAGAGACTACAAGGCTACAATTGGAGTTGATTTTGAAATAGAGCGGTTTGAAGTTGCTGGAATTCCATACAATCTACAAATGTGAGTACATAGTAAAAAAAGCTCATTACCCAAATTTTAAAATAAAGTGTTACATGTTTAGTCTTAAAATGCGTGAGATTGTACATCAAATTGTTCTTACATAGATATATTCTTTTGAGTGTGAGATGAGTCTGCTGTTCCTTCCTAGTTGCTATGACTGCAGTGAAGAATGCCCCAGTCAGATTTAGTGCTAAGGCAGACAGTATATCCTAGAAATTGTCCTGCATAGTGCCTATATACCAGACACCAAATTTCTGAGCAGAAATCTTGCACGCTCAACTGGAACGTAGGGCACTGACCACCATATTGAGAAGGACAAGCAAGGGGTATCCTTTACCTATGTCTATGCTTAAGCAAATAAGGAGCCTAATACTTGTTTTAAGCCTTTGGCCTGAACATTTGTTTGTCTCTAGCTGTTGGAGCCATTGTCATTCAGGTTGACTCCTACTGATTATGTTTTTGTGTTTTTCAATTTAGATAATTAATATATATCAAGAAAAGCAGTGCACCTAATACAGGAACCCTTTTATATGCTTTTCTCCTGTCCTCAAAGCAATTGTTCATCACTACTCTTGTTACTCAACTAACTTTGTCCTGACAAAGGGTTTTGGCCCCAGACGTTGACTTCCTGCTCCTCGGATGCAGTCTGACCTTCTGTGCTTTTCCAGCTCCACATTTATTGACTCTAGCTTCCAGCATCTGCAGTCTTTACTGTCTCTAACTTTATACTCATGTTGTCACTGTCCCACTTATTGCAATGGAATAGTGAAGTATTCATCGTGTCCTAAACAATGTTTATCCCTCAAATAAAAATGAAAAACAGATTCTCTGTTCATTATCACATTGGTGTTAAGAGACCTTACTGTGGACAAATTGACTGCTGTGCTTTTAGTATTTTGCCAGATGAACACCCCTGGTACGTTGTCATATTTACTACCTTTACCACTAAGTGGTACTGGGTAAAGGTTATTTGGGTAGTTTGTTTCCACAAATCTTCCTACGTATTTGCTTTTCTTGTGCTTATCTGGTGATTAGAGGATACACCACCATAGAGGATCTACTTAAGAGACATCATTCTTAGATAACAAGAAAACGTGTTGCATGGCAGCAGTATGTGCATCTCTATTGATCACGTATAATTACCTTGACCACAGAAAGCTAGAGTAGAACTCCTTGTTACCATCCACAGACTGTGTGACTTAGGTAGAATGTGTGGATCCAATGTAACCTGAACATTAACTGCTATTATTACTGTACACAACAGTGTTCCCAACATTACTACGTTTCAAAAGTATTTAATTGATTATAAAGTGTCTTGTAACATATTCTGATTCTGAAAATAACTTTGTAAATGCAAGTTATTTCCTATTAGCATTGATTTCCTGAAATAGGACACGACTAAAATTATTTAGGTTGATAAGCAAGAATGTTCACACCGCTCCAGAAGAAAAAATCCAGGAAATCAGAGGCCTTTAATGCTCCCTGGTTTGGAAACTCAATACAAACAAGGGTAATCCTTTACCTATGTCTACGCTTGAGCAAATAAGGAGTCTAATACTTGTTTTAAGTCCTTGGCCCCAACAAGATGAGTCTTTTCAGACACATTTCTTGTCTTGTATTTCCTTACTATTTGCTTGAATAGGAAGCCAGTGGTTTAATGCAATGCAATAACATTTAAACATTTTAATGTGGTGAAACCAGGATAAAACAGAACTTTTCAGTTAAAGTTAAATGTACTCATCAATTTGGAGTAGATTTCTTTCAAAGGATTGATCTGATATATTTCTATTGACTTTAGTTGGGACACAGCAGGGCAGGAGAAATTCAAATGCATTGCCTCTGCATACTATCGAGGTGCTGAAGGTAAGTCCAGATTAGTGCCAGCAAAACAACTCATTGTGGACTCTTAAAATATCAATGTTTTGATCATATTTTAAAATTTTGTTTCCAGTCGTTATAATAACCTTTGATTTGGCTGACATACAAACCCTGGAACACACAAAGTAAGTCCTTTTTTTTCATCAGTATATGGAGATATTGAATATTATTTTCAGTTCTTCAGTCATTTACTTCAATATGCAATGTGCCTATTGCAGTTATTATATTCCAGCCATTCAGTGTTTGTTTTTATTGGAGACTTGAAACTAGCATAGTGAAACCTTTAACCAAACCGACACTACCCATAATTGACCAATGCCACGTGCCAGGTGTATGTTAAATGCCACTTCAAGGGGTGTTTCCCTGGAGCAGGCGTATTTGAGATCCTCAGTGGAGGAAATGCCAACATAATAGCAGATGAGATAATCTGTAAATTAGTGTCCACAAAGTCCAACTATGATGCAGGACAGAATAATAAAAGGCCAAACATGAACCATTCCAAGTTCAACACCAGCATTCCCATCCTTGCTTTTTAAGAAATGAAAGTAAGACTAAGCTATTCATACCATCAAGCATGGTCTGCCATTTTATAAGATCATGGTTGCTCTGATTGTGGATTTGACCCCATTTCCTTCTGGTCTCCCAGAACCCTTGACTCACTTGTAAATGACAAATTTGTCAGATTTGAATTTATTTAATGACCAAGCTTCCACTGCTATCAAGAATAAAGAATTCCAAATACTAACATCCCTCCAAGAGGGAAAAATTCTCTTCATGTGTGTCTTAAATGAGGTGTCCCCCTTTTAAACTGTGACCCCTAGTCCTAAATTCCCAAGAGAAAGCATCTTCTCAGCATCCACACTGTAAAATCTCTCAAAATCTTAACTGTTTCAATAAGATCGCTTCTCATTCTTCTACACTCCGGTGAGTGTAGGCCCAATCTGTTCAAAATTTTCTCATAAGACAACCCTTTCACCCTTGGAATCATCCAAGTGAAACCTTACCAATTTGCTTGCAATGCAATGATATCCTTCCTTATGTAAGATAACTGAAACTTTACACAGTAGTCCAGGTGCAGTTCACCCTGTACAGTTGTAGCAACACTTCCTTATTTTTGTACTCTATTTTCTTTGCAGTAAGTATCAACATTGCAATTGTCTAAAATAAACACAGAAAATGCTGGGAAAACTCAGCAGATCTGGCAACATCCGTGGAGAGAGAAACAGAGTTAATGTTTTGAGCCCAATATGACTCTTCTTCGGAACAATTCAATGTGTCTTCCAATCTACGTGCTGTATCTGATGCTACTTTTTGTGATTCATGTACAGGAATACTTGGATCCTCTTGTATTGCAGCATTCTGCAGCCTCTCCCTCTATTTGAATGATTTCATGTTTTTCTCTTTTTTTCTGGGCAAGTGGACAATCTCAAGTTATACTGCATCTGCAAAAATTCATCACAGGACCCCCAACAATGGGCAAACCCAGAGTGCCCCGAATAATCTGTGGTGATTTAATGATTTGATTCCTACCTCCAAAGGTTTAGTTTGTCTGGTAGGATGGATATTTTCTGGGGGGAGCCATGGATGGGAATCTGTTGTAGCTAAGATTTAAATTAGGAACTGATTTTCCTATGGAAATGTAAGTATCATTGTTTTAAACAATATCTTTCATAACCACCACCCTTTCCATCTCAAAGGACATAGGCAGCAAGTACCTGGCTACACCACCACCTGCAAGTTCCCTTCCTAGCCATTCTCCATCACCGATTTGGAAAAATATCATTGTTCTTTCAGTGTTGCTGTGTCAAAATCCTGTAATTCTCTCCCCAATGCCATTGTGGGTCTACTTATAGTACATGGAATATAGCGATTCAAGAAGGCAGCTCACCACCATCTTCTCAAGGGCAATTAGGGATGAGCAGTGAATGCTGGCCCAGCCAACAATGACCACATCTCTTGAATGAATATAACAAAACAAGTCAGATAATCACAGTATGAGCTCCAATAAGAACACAACTAGCTAACTTATAGTTCTAAATTAACTCATCATTTCAGCCAGGTTTTTGATCACCCTTCCCATCCCTCTCACTGTGAAACAGGAGAATTGATAGTGGAGAACGAAGAATTGGCAGAGAAATTACACAGCTACTTTTGTTCTCCAAGACTGCAAGGGAAGAAAAGGTCTTGAGTTCTAGAGAAATTAGTGACTACGTGAAAGTACTAGGAAAGTTAATGGCACTGATAGCTGATAAATCCCTAGGCACATGATGATCTTTATACCAGGTGCCAAAGGGGAGGCCAAGAAAATACTGCATGCGTTGTCACCTTGCAAAATTCTTTAGGTTCTGAAACAACCTCATCAGATTGAAGGGTGGCAAATGTGACCTCACTGTTTAAAAAGGAAGGACGGAGATAATCGGGAATTACAGAACAATTTGTCTAATATCAGTAGTAGGGAAAATGCGAAAGCCCATTAAATGGAATGTGAAAACAGGAGACTTAGAAAATACCAATTGTATTACACTAAGTCAACATAGATTTTTGGAAAGGAAATTGTATTTGACAAACCTATGGGAGCTTCTTGAGGAAGTAACTAATAGAATAGATGAAGAAGTACCAATTGTTGTGATCTACTTGGACTTTCAGAAAGTTTTTGATAAAAGTCCCACATAAGAGGTTATTGCGCAGAATCAAAGTACACGCGATTGGTGGCAATATACTGGCATGCATTCAGAATTCATTTGACCAGAAACAGAGTAGGAATAAGTGGATTGTTTTTGGAGTGGAAAGTGATGACGGGTGGGGTGCCACAGAGATCAGTGCTAGGGCCCCCAATTTTTCATTCAATATATAGCGATTTCGATAAGGGGTTCAAGTGTAATATTCCCAAAGGTGGGAGTGTAAATGGTGAGGAGAACATAAAGAAGCTTCAGGGTGATTTACGCCAATTGAGTGAGTGGCAAAAACATGGCAGCTGCAGTATAATATGAGTAAATATTCAGTTGTCCACTTTCAGGAGGAGAAACAGAATTGCAGAGTTTTGTTTAAATGGTGGTAGATTGGTGTTTTGTTAGCTGGAAGTACTGAACAGGTGCTTTAAAGTCTGATCAAAATGATTACAAGAAGACACACACACACTTCAGCTAATTTATTATCTTAATCTGCTTAATATATATACAAACTAATAAGCGACTCTATTAGCTTAAACCACTATATATGTATGCAAACTAATGACTCTCACTCCCTTGTCTTCACGTTGGGGACTTTGTCAATGGTGGCACTTGGAGCTCTATTTCAAATTCCAAGGCACTGTTCTCACAAACCCCAGTCTAATGGCAAAGGTCTGTGGCACTGGTTTTGTGAACCCCAGCCCAGTAGTGAAAGTCTCATGTGTGGGGCAAAGTCCCCGATATTAATACCATTCTGAATTTAATGTTACATGCTGTATCACCATTTCATAGTACTTTCAGTACTTTCTCAGGCAGAGTGTAGACAACAGCTCCAGGTGCCTCTTTTAGTTACACAATATTCTGTTTCTTACCCACCCAAGGTCATGCAGTTACCTTGTAGCCAAGCAGACTGTTTTTTGCACTAAGCCTGCTTTCCATTTAATTCTCCACTTCCTTCAATTGCTCGTTTTTTTGTCCAATAAATCATTAACAATCTGGTTTGGAAATATTCTTTAAACCCAATACTGCAATTAGGAATGTTTGATTTACAAAGGGGCCTGGGTGTTCTTGTGCACCGCTAATTGAAAGAAAGTATGCAGGTATAGCAACCAGTGAGAAAGGCAAAAGATATGTTGGCCTTCACAGCAGAGGGTTTGAGTACAGGAACAAGTTAGTGTTATTTCAGCTATAACAGGGCCTTGGTGAGATCACATCTGTATGCAGCTTCCTTACCTAAGGAAAGATATATTTGCCATAGAGGAGATACAGTGAAGGTTTGCCAGGCTGATTCCTGGGATGGCAGGTTTGTCATATGAAGAGAGATTTGGGTTCACTGGGTCTGTATTCGCTGTCGTTAGTAGAACAAGAGGGCATCTCATTGAAATACGCAAAATTCTGACAGAGTGGAACAAACTGGTGCAAGGACAATGCCAGAATCCAGAACAAAGGGTCACAGTCTCAGGAAATGTGGTAGACCATTTTGGACTGAGTTGAGGAGAGATGTCTTCACTCCAAAGGTGGTGAACCCATCTAATTCTATACCACAGAAGGCTGTGGAGGTAAAGTCACTGAATATATTTAAGAAATTGATAGGTTTCTAGAAGCTAACACTGTCAAGCATATGGGGAGAGAGTGGGAGTCTGGTGATGAGGTAGTGAATTAGCTACGATCATGTTGAATGGTGGAGCAGGCTCAATAGGCTTACTTCTCCTATTTTCTCTATTTCTATGATTTGGCATTTGTGGTTTTTAGTTTTAAGATACTTATGTGGATGAACGCTGTTAATGTGGAGTTTTTACAACCAAAAGCACGCAGTAGTACTTTGTGAACCCACTTAAATATAAACTGCAATACATTCAGTCAGTCTCTTGTTCTTCGTCCTCATCTGATTTCTTACTTCTAACGCCTTCAATTTCAATTTGTGTCCATTTTAAAGTCAAGAATAAGTATGTATCCCTTGACTTTTCCATATAACTTAAATTCCTGATACCTGCAATAGTTTTGGTTACTCCCTTTAATATTTTCTAAAGGCCAACAATATTCTTTTTTTGCTGCAGACAGTGGCTAGAGGATGCACTGAAGGAAAATGAACAGGGTTTAAGTACCATATTTCTTGTTGGCTCTAAGAAAGACTTATTGGTGAGTAATAATCATTTCCCTTGTAAATTGTGTAAGTGACCTGATGTCTGAACCTTGCATTCTGCCCTTAATAATCTGTTGAAAATGTGATTTTTCAAAGGTGAAATTGGGCTTAATAGGTGTGATTTTCCAGACATTATGAGTGCTGCTAGGCTTCTAAAATGGAGTCTGTGGCATATGTGCAATTCTGACATGAGGCACACCAACACCTATCTTAGTAAGGGGGTTTGCCTGCACACACTGGAAATGTGCACATTAGGCAGATAATGATGTCAATCAATACATAATGCTAATTTGATGTGGGTCCTGCCATTTTGAAGTCTATAGAACAGAATCCCTACAATGTGGAAGAAGGCCATTCGGCCACACCGACCCTCCAAACCGTACCCCTCCCAGACCCACCCCATACCCCATCCCTGTAATCCTGCATCTACTGAGCTAACCCAACTAGCCTGTATATCCCTAGACACTATGAGCAATTTAGTATGGCCAATCCACCTAACCCACACATCTTTGGACTGTGGGAGGAAACCACAGGGAGAATGTGCAGACTGCACACAGACAGTCACCTGAGACTGGAATTAATCTCAGGACCCTGGTTCTGTGAGGCAGCAGTGCTAACCACTGAGCCACCGTGCCACCCCAAATATTGCAACCAACCTCCTCACTGGTGCTATTTAAAGGATCATTAACTGCTGAAAGGTTAGTTGATTTTTTTCCAGCTATTGCTGTAATTCCACATTTTTTTGATGTGCTTTGTAGTTGTTTTGAATTTCACAAGTTCATAGGAATGGTTGGTTGAAGAACTTTTTTCTGATTACAAAGCTTCAGCGCAGCTTTGTTGTTCCCAGGCAGGGTATGAGGTTACCCTGATGGATTCTTCTTCTCAACCTCTTCTCTCATCTAGCATAGTTACCATCAGGTTAAACCATCGTCAGTCATCTCTCTCTAATTAGGGAGCATCCCTATGGTCCATATGGTAGGAAGTTGGTAACTTGACATGAACCTTTATGCTAGTCGACCATTAGTTATGATAGGGAGAATGAACAGAGGCTGTGCAAAGCAGGACTAACTCCTGGAAGAGAGAGTACAGGGAGAAAGACTCACAGGAGGTGACCATATCTGTTCAGGGAGAAATTCTCTGACCTGAAACTCAACAACCAACAACTGCCACGACTCTAAACCCAGAATAGCATGAGGACTGCATTGCTGATGGATGTGTCAGTGACATCTAACTACCATTGTGTCTGGCTCCTTACAAGCTGCTGACTGGGATATTCAGAAGATCTCACAGTATTTAGTCCACTGTTCATAAATTTGGTCACTGCCTTCTGTTAGATTGGAGACAGTAAAACATCATTTTCTGTCAGAGAGAAGCCAGCAGAGTGAATACGAGGGTTTATAAGATTTGTAGGCTTTCCCCTGGTTTAGGATGCCAATGGTGTCATGCACCATTACTTTGGCAACTTTGCCATGTACCAGGAGTGAAAGGGATCTGTTCCCTCAATGTGCAGTTGGGGGACAGACAGTGCATCATTTAGGGCAGTGCTTGTATCTTGGCAGTAGTCATGATACATTAATCCTGCAGCAATCTGCTTTGCCAGCTGCTTTTAATCCCCAATGGCAAAACAAAGGGTTGCTTCTGGACAATAAACGGTAGTTGCTGACGGCATTGCTCATGGCTGCAGTTCAGAAGCCACACTCGTGCAACACATACAAAATAAGAGCTAGCCTGCTACAAGAACTTTGTCACAACAGATACTTGGCACACTGAAGCAACAGTTCTACTGCTTGGACAACACCTGCTGTGCTTGACTGAGTGTTCGGTCTCTGAATTAATAGCTGTCAGCTGTATATTACACAACTGCACCATCATGAGCGAACAGCACTTGCTGCTACCTATCAGCCAAGAAGATATGAACAAGGAGAAGATAGAAGAGAGGCTGAAATCTAGATAGTCCATTCCTGCCTCAGCTGTATCAGTAACTGCAATCCCCACTCATCAAAAGTTTTCATTCTCCTTAACTTTCCTCTGTCCTTAATATTACATCATACAGTTGGACACAATGATAAAATGTTAAGAATTTTAAAGTCACAAAATATACATTCTGAACAAAACATACATCATGCAATATTTCATTCAAAATTAAACTTATCAAGCTTGGGAATTTTCTTAGTTGTTGTCTTCTGTGTGCCTTTACCAGTCTTAGTGCACTTAACGGGGTACTATCTGCTATTGATTTTCAATAAAGGATCTGGAGCAGTTCTGGATTTATAAGTAGTCTGAGCTGATGGGTGGATAGACAGTGACACAGGCCATGGATGAGTTGGACGGGTGGGACCACAAATATTGTTCTTCTGAATAAAGACAACAGTCTTGTGTTCTATGGATTTACTGCTACACCCTCAGGGTGGCACTACTAGCCTAATAATTCGCTGGAGGAAAGATCACTGAACTGCAAGAGCTTGGGAGTCATTTTTGATGTCCAGAGCTATATTGGCAGCATACTGAACTTGCATATCTTCCTGAGTGTTAGATATTTGGTGAAAACTCCATGTGCTGCAATGTAACCTGAAACATCAGCTATCTCATGGTTGGCTTACAAACATACAAACAGAATTGACCACCATATCCAAGCTGGACAGGATGGGCTTAATCCCTGCCAGGCTGATCACCCATTCACTTGACATCACAAGCGAGCATTTTGGCAGGATTTCCAGTGTACAGAGTATTACATTGTCTTTTTCTGTAGCTTTGGTCATTTAAGTTCTTACCAGAGCCCATTGCATCAGGTCTATTGTGCAACCCTCACCTTCTAGTAAGCTGTCACTTTGCTACCCTTCTCCCCGAACTTGTCTGCCGTGCACTTGTGCCTTGGTGTGTTATCATATGTAGGTTCCACCTCTCTTGTGCGAGTCACTGATGAGTTTTAAACACTGTAGGTTCATTTAAATGGTGCAAGTGAGAGATAATATTGGGCCCTATGCCAAAACGTGGCACCATTGAATCGCACAGCATCTGTTTAGTTGGGCAGACATCCCCTATTACATTGAACAAGAGTGAGATAATCACATGTTATGATCTGTATGTTCATTTTCATGAGCAACCTAACTTTGACTGCATGATGTAGCAATGGAAGTAATATGAGCTTAAACAGGAGGATTAGGTATTTTCTGATGTTGCAGCCTGGATTACCTGAGCCAATCAAGTGACTGCAAGAGCAGATCAAAGGATGGGAATTCTGCAGTTTTATCTCTGCAGATTATCGCCTGACTCCTCAAACCTTCGCTGTTTTCTACAAGCATAAGTCAGCAATATATTGGAATACTCACTACAAGCAGCAGCACTCAAGAAGATAAATAACATTCAGGACAAGGCAGCCTACTTAATCGGCACACTTTAAGATTGTTCTGCACCTGACAATATATTTGAAAGAGTGGTGAAATGCAGTTTGTTTGTTGTACTGTGTAGTATATTCCAGATTACTGCGCAACCTCACATCTGTGCAGTTTAAGGTGAACATTCCTGACCTTAGGAATACAAGGTCAGAAGTCAGACAACACCAGGTTATAGTCCAGCAGGTTTACTTGAAATCACAAGCTTTCACAGGTGACCTGACGAAGGGGCAACGCTGCGAAATCTTGTAACTTCAAAAAAACCTGATGGACTATAACCTGGTGTCGTCTGACTTCTGACCTTGTCCACCCCAGTCCAATACTGGCACCTCCACATTAGGAATACAGATTGAACTCGCTGTTTAAAGTGAGGATATGTCCGTTCTAATCTAAGTGCCCTCTTGTCAATGTACTAGATCTTAATTACTGCTCAATTACAACCTCCCTGGCACTTCAAAGAATGTGAAGTCTCATTCCTTCAGCTTTTATGGCTGGGCATTTTTTAAAATGTAACTTTTTTGCTTTCAGCCTCTCGATTTTATATTTCTTTATTTTGCTTTATTTATGTGATTGCCATGGAAGTCATTATATTAACTGGCACTTTACAGTTCAGATTTGCTGCTGCTCATCAATGATTCCTTAATCTGATTTATTAAGGAAATAAACAATTGCTTGTCTTTATGATAAATGTCCTGGGTACCCTGTAAGGGTAGCTGCTTGTGTCTGAATGTTTGATTGACAATAAGTTGTTAGTCCAATGCAATGAACAGGTAGCTTAGACAGATTGACAATGGATTCAAGGATTATTCTTTGGGGTGTTGGGGGCTACGGGTAGGTGGGGGTTGCATTGACGGGGAGGTAGGAAAGTTGATTTAAGAGCACAGTCAGATCAGCTATGATCTTATTTAATGGATAGATAGGCACAAATAGCCTACATCCGTTCTTGTTTCTTTGATTCTATATAAGATAGCTGGTCTTTCATGGGCATACTACACATTCCATATACTTAATACAAAGAAAGTTTTTTTCAATGTTCAGAACTTTATCAGTCATTTTAATCCACTGGGCTAAATATAATGAGCCTTTGGAACTTTGAGACCCACCACTGCTTAACCTGAATGCAGGTAAAATTTATCATTATGGCATAGGTCAGTGATATTTCACTATTAATTAATAAAATTCCTCTTAAACATCTTGGGTATAACCTCAATAAGGTGAGACAGTGGCGTAATGGTAATGTAATTGGATAGCTAATACAGACACCCAGATTAATGCTGTAGGGATATGGATCCAAATTCCATCACAGCAGTTAGTGGGATTTAAATTTAATTAATAAATTTGGAATACAAAGCTAGTCCTAGTAATGAAAACCATCATTGGTTGATATACACCATTCTGATTCATCAATCTCCTCCAGTGAAGGAGATCTGTTGTCCTGACCTAGTTTGACCTACTTGTGACTCCAGAGCCACTGCAATGCAGTTATCTTTTAAATACTGTCTAAAATGGCCTAGCAAATCATTCAGTTCAAGAGCAATTAAGATTCTAAAACAAATCAGCCTTACAAGTGACAGCACATCCCATGAAATAGCACACAAAAAAACTTTAAGAAGTTTAATTCCAAATCAAAATTCTCAGAAATCTCAGTGTCGCTCCATCCCTCCTCCCCACAACTGTTTGAGAACAAACCAGACTGCTTGTGACCCGAGTGCCTTATTCAACCCCAAAATTAGCTTCTGATCATATGATCATGCCATCACTAAGGTCACCTGTTTCCCTTCCATAATGACACCCAACATCACGTTGGCCTTAACTCATCTGCTGCTGATATCCATATTCATGGCTTTGCTTTTTCTGTACTATTCCAACACATCTGGCTGGTCTCCTCCATTCTATGATTCAAGTGCTTGAGGTCATCCAGCGTCTTCTATTTATGTCCTAACTTGCACGAAGTCCCATCGTTCACCTACGATTTTCACTTCCTAACCGCCTGCAAATCCCTCCATAGCTCTATCCTCAGTGTCACTGTAACCCGTCCTCCGAATCCACAGCCCTCCACTATATCAGTACTTATCTAATTCTGGCCTCTTGAGCATTCCCAATTTTAATTGCTCCACTATTGATGGCCATACACTCAGTTGCATTGGCCTTGTGCCCTTCCTAACATTCCCGCCTCCTACTTCACTTTTAAGACATTCCTTAAAGCCTATCTGATAGACTTTGTCATCTGACCAATATTTACTTATGTAGTTCTGTGTCATTATTTGTGTTTGTCTACCAGTCGCAGGCTGAATATGAGCGAACAGAAGCTGATGCCATTAGGATGGCTACTGAGATGCAAGCAGAGTATTGGGCTGTGTCTTCAAAAACAGGTGAGTGTTTAGAAAAGCATTAGCAGTTGTACCTGTGCACAACAGAACCATGTACGCACGTTCAAATGGCATCCTGTATTTATATAGTATTAACATATGTTGCAAAAGGTCTCAAAGTTTTTAATAAGTTTGTTTAAAGTATTTTGAGTCACATGAGAACGTATCAAAGACAATGTTGAAAAGATATTTTGGTAAGTACATGAATAAGAAATGTTTGGAGGGATATGGGCCAAGCGCAGGCAGGTGGGACTAGTTTAATTTGGGATTATGATCGGCAGGGACTGGTTGAACTGAAGGGTCTGTTTCCGTCCTATATGACTCTGTGACCAACAGCTGGGATAATGAGGTAGGTTTTTGAGAAGCATCTTAAAAGAGAAGAGAGAGGCAGAGAGGTTGAGGGAGGGAATTCCCAAGTTTAGGGTCAACTCAGTTGGATGCACAACTGCTAATGATAGAGAGGTTAAAATCAAGGAAGCTCAAGAAGCTAGAATTGGAGGAGACAAAGATCTCAAAGTTTGGTATGGTTACATGCAAAAATGGGGAGTATGATTCACAAACAAATAGTGTGAAACTGACTATAAATCTATTTACACAGAGGTTGTACCATTCCAAGGATGCACTGATGGCTAGAATAGTCACCCATTACCAGTACATACTGGGGAACTTTGTGACTGCCTGAAATAAGTTTCAAATTTCAGAGCCATGCACTAATTTTACCAATTCCCGGTTCCCAAAGAAAATCACAAGTCCTCTGAAATTCCACTGAGATTTTCCCAGTCTCTTGCCATTACTTCAGCAGTAGCTCATTTTGAAATTAAAATCATTCACAAACTCCATGACCGATTTGTAATAATTTGTAATTTGTTTTCAAATGGAGCATTGTGTTAGTAAAAAATTTTTTCCCTTGTGTTTTTCAAATCATTTAGTAAGCAAGTTGGAATGGGTAAGTCCATGATAATGCTGGGCTCCTATCACTGCTCTGGCTGTGCCCAACTTCTGCATTCAGTATTATTTGTCTCACTATATCACTCCTATTTTCCATGTTAAGTTTATTTAAAAAAACACTGTACTTTCATTTTGAAATATCCCTGTGTACTTGTCTCTCCATGTGTGTATCTTTAGTAAGTCTATTTATTCACCAGAGATTCCCTGCAGTATATTGCACCCAGAAGACATCCAAGACGCATATTTACAGGCATTTCCCAATACATTGGGTGTAATTTTGTTATTCCCTGGTGATCGGTTTGAAGGCAAGGACTCAAAAGTTGCGGCCTGCCCTGTCTAACCGCCTGCCCCGACTAGTCTTTCACTTAGCATGGGCTCAGTGGCCACATCAGGTGGCATATCCTTCCTTTGTCCTAACTGAACAATTAAATACTTCAGAGATAGTAGGAACTGCCGATGCTGGAGAATCTAAGATAACAAGGTGTAGAGCTGGATGAACACAGCAGGCCAAGCAGCATCAGAGGAGCAGGAAAGCTGACGTCTCAGGTCGAGACCCTTCTTCAGAAATGGGGGAGGGGAAGGGATTCTGAAATAAATAGAGAGGGGGAGGCGACAGAAGATGGATAAAGGAGAAGATAGGTGGAGAGGAGACAGACAGGTCAAAGAGGCGGGGTTGGTGCCAATAAAGGCGAATGTAGGGGGGAGTTAGGGAGGGGATAGGTCGGTCCAGGGAGGATGGACAGTTCAAGGAGGGGGGATGAGGCTAGTGGGTAGGAGATGGGGGTGGTGCTTGAGGTGGGAGGAATGGTTAGGGACGCGGGAATGAGCTGGGCTGGTTTTGGGATGCGGTCGGGGGTGGGGAGATTTTGAAGCTTGTGAAGTCCACATTGATACCCTTGGGCTGCAGGGTTCCGAAGCGAAATATCAGATGCTGTTCCTGCAGCCTTCAGGTGGCATTATTGTGGCAATGCAGGAGGTCCAGGATGGACATGTCATCCAAAGAGTGGGAGGGGGAGTTGAAATGGTTCGCGACTGGGAGGTGCAGTTGTTTGTTGCGAACCGAGCACAGGTGTTCCACAAAGCGGTCCCCAAGCCTCCGCTTGGTTTCCCCGATGTAGAGGAGGCCACAATGGGAACAGCGGATACAGTATACCACATTAGCAGATGTGCAGGTGAACATCTGTTTGATGTGGAAGGTCTTCTTAGGGCCTGGGTTGGGGGTGAGGGGGGAGGTGTAGGGGCAGGTGTAGCACTTGCTGCGGTTGCAGGGAAAAGTGCCAGGGGTGGTGGGGCTGGTGGGGAGTATGGAGCGGACAAGGGAGTCACAGAGAGAGTGGTCCCTCCGGAAAGCAGATAAGGGTGGGGATGGAAAAATGTCTTTGGTAGTGGGGTCAGATTGCAGATGGCGGAAGTGTCGGAGGTTGGTGGGGTGGTACGTGAGGACAAGAGGGATTCTGTTTTGGTTATTATTGCGGGTAGGGGGTGTGAGGGATGAGTTGCGGGAAATGCGAGAGACACGGTCGAGGGCATTTTCGACCACTGTGGAGGGCAAGTTGCGGTCCTTGAAAAACAAGGACATCTGGGATGTCCGGGAGTGGAATGCCTCATCTCGGGATCATTACAATCATTACATCTCATCTTCTCCCGAGATGGGCAATTCCTTGACCAATTAGAGTCAACCTGCCTGGTTTAAATTTCAACAAAGCTTGATAACGAACTGTCAGTCATCATCTAACTGGTGCATGCTCTATAACAATGCCTCTACCAATCAGAGTCCACTTGCAAAACAATCAACAGTCTCTTCCCTTATAGCACAGTATGATTAAGATAATCTGGTGTAGGTACAGAAGTAAGCCACTCTGTCCATTGACTCTGCTCCATCATTCAAAGAGATCATGGCTGTTCTGAGGATCCTCAACTTCACTTTCCTGCCTTCATCTCATAACATTTGATTCTCTTACTGATTAAAAATCTGTCTGTCAGCCTTGAATATACTGAACGAAGCAGTAAAAAATTCCACAGATTGACTACTCTCTGAGAGAAGAAATACCTCTTTATCTCTACCTTAAATGGGCAACCCTTTGCTCCGAGATTATGCCTCTGGCCTTTGACTCGGCCACATGGAGCAACAATATCTCCATGTTCATTCTGTCAAGCCTCCTAAGAAACTTTTTAATAAGGACTCCTCCTTATTCTTCTAAACTCTAAATGAGTACAAGCACAACCTACTCAATCTCTCCTCAAAAGAAAATCCTTCCATACCCGAGATCAACCTAGTAAACCTTCTCTGGACTGCCTCTAAAGCTAGTATATCTTTCCTTAGATAAGGGAACCAAAACTGCCAGCTGTGGTCTGACCCGTGCCTTGGAAAATTTAAGCAAGCCCTTCCTATTTTTACATTCCATTCCCTTTGTAATAAAGGCTAACATTCCATTTTCTTTCCCTATTACCCACTGAACTTGGATGCTAGCCTTTGGATTCATTCACTAGAACTCTAAATCTCTCTGCAGTCCTTTTCCAGCTTTGCAATTCTTCCTGTTAGTGTGCAAAACCTCACATTATATTCCATCTGCCAAGTTTTTTGCCAAATCATTTAACATGCCATCTACCGTGTAAGGTTCTGACAAAGGGAATTGCTATCCTAATTGAGGAACAGATTGGTTGGAGGAATGATGATCATACTGATATGTTCTTAAGTATTTCTATTCATTCATGGCGTATGGACATTGCTGGCTGGGACAGCTTTTATTGCCCATCCCTAATTTCCTTGAGAAGGTTGTGATGAGCTGCCTTCTTGAACCACTACAGTCCATGTGCTGTAGATAGACCCACAATGCTGTTAGGAAGGGAGTTCGAGGATTTTGACCCAGTAACTCTGAAGAAATGGCAATATATTTCCAGGTCAGGATGGTGAGTGGCTTGGAGGGGCACTTGCCCATGGCAGTGTTCCCATGTATCTGCTGCCCTCACTCTGTTAGATGGTAGTGGTTGTGGGCTTGGAAAGTGCTGTCTGAAAAGCCTTGATGAATTTCTGTAGCGTACCTTGAAGATGGTACACACTGCTGCTACTGTGCATTAATGGTTGAGCGAGTGAATATGTGGTCCTGGATGGTGTCAAGCTTCTTGAGTGTTGTTAGAGCTGCACCCATCCAGGCAAGTGGGGAATATTCCATCACACTCTTGTCTTGTGCCTTGTGGATGGTGGACAGGCATTTAAGGATTCAGAAGGTGAGTTACTTGCTGCAGGATTCCTAGCCTCTGACCTGTTCTTGGTAGACACTGTTTTTATATGGTTAATCCTCTTCAGTTTCTAGTCGATGGTAACCCCCAGAATGTTATAAGATAATATCATGCAAAATATTTACAGACTGAATAAACCATATCAAAAACTTTATTAAGGACGCAGTGTTCTTTACCAAAAAGGCAACAGCGGATAAGACCATAAGATATAGGAGCAGAAATTAGGCCATTAGGCCCATCGAGTCAGCTTCACTATTCAATCATGGCTGATAAGTTCCTCAACCCCATTCTCCTGCTTTCTCCCCGTAACCCTTGATCCCCTTGATAATCAAGAACCTAGCTATCTCAGTCTTAAATGTACTCAATGGCATGGCCTCCACAGCCTTCTGTGGCAGTGAATTCGATAGATTCACCACTCTCTGGCTGAAGAAGTTTCTCCTTATCTCCACTCTAAAAGGTCTTCCCTTTACTGTAAGGCTGTGCTCTTAGGTCCTAGTATCTCCTACCAATGGAAGCATCTTCCCAACATCCACTTTGTCCAGGCCATTCAGTATTCTGTAAGTTTCAATTAGATCCCCCCTCATCCTTCTAAACGCCAATGAGTATAGTCCCAGAGTCCTCAAACGTTCTTCACATGTTAAGCTTTCCATTCCTGGGACCATTCTCGTGAACCTCCTCTGAACCCGCTCCAGGACCAGTACATCCTTCCTGAGATATGGGGCCCAAAACTGGACGCAATACTCCAAATGTGGCCTGACCAGAGCCTTATAAAGCCTCAGTAGTACATCCCTGCTTTTATATTCAAATCCTCTCAA